AAAGAAATTACTGTGAAATGAATTTGTCCAACTACAAAGCTTTTTCTTCTCTAATAAAAACTATCATTTAGTGTTTATACCAAGGGAAACATTGCTAAAACCTGTCTATTAGCCAGGGTTGTTGGTATATACTTGTAACCCCAGAACTCTTGGAGGCTGAAGCAGGAAGATCTAAAGGCCAAGCTCAACATTTAAAGGGTTAGAGATACTGCTTAATGTGAAAGCTCAGCCCCCTGAGGGCTGGGATTACAAGTGTGTGTCACCACGACTGGCAGTTTTCAGAGTTTTGAGTATCATAAATGTTCAGACTTAGGCACCACAGCTGGGAATGGAACTCCACTGTGGAGGAAAGTCCTAGATTCAATCCCTGGACTGATAAAAACAGTAGAAGACACCAGGTGTGGGGGTGCCTGCCTGTAATCTTTGCACTCGGGGGGCAGACGCGGGACCACCAGAGTTCAGCAGCCTGGGCTGCAGAGGATGACTGCCTCAAAAAAAAGGCACGAAATAGTTCACTGAAAGTGTTTAATCCTACCAGTATTGTGATTAGACCCAGAGTTTACTAGAGATAAGGAAGATACAAACTTGGACACGGGAATGTTACATTTTGCTGAACATAAACTTCATATTAAGCTTTTTTTTTTTTTAACTTTTTTTTTTTTTAACATTTAGTGTGTGTGTGTGGCCAGCTCAGCGCACCAGGGGGCGGGGCTGGCTGGCATGTGGTGCTAGGGGATTGAACCGCGGTCCCTGGGCTTTGCTAAGCTTGTTCTAAGTGGGTGCTTTAGACCACTGAGCCATCTCACCAGCCTCAACAATACAGATTTTTTTGCGGAACCGGGGATTGAACTCAGGCCCTTGCACTTGCCAGGCAAGCGCTTATTCCACTGAGCCATCTCCCCGGCCCTTGTTTGTTTTGTTTTGAGACAGGGTCTTACTATGTAGTCCAAGCTGACTTTGAACTCACCCTGTATCCCAGACTGGCCTCGAACTCGCAGTGACCTTCTTGCCTCAGCCTCCTGAATGTTGGGGTTGCAGGCTTGCGCCACTGTGCCAGGCTTGGGTTTTGGAGAGAGGGTCTTGCTCTGCAGTTCAGGCTACCCTTGCATTCACAGTGACCGTCAGCCTACTGCATGTTGGGATCAGAGGCAGCGACCACCACGCCTGGTTGTGCTTAATGCCAGCAAATCAGATATTATTTTCGTGCACCGCCTAAGCTCTCCTCTTGCCCACTGAGGGGCCATCCTGCCCTAATGTAGGGTGAAAGGGGAGGCTTTGTGTGTGTGATGGGAACTTAGCTGCCAAGCAGTCATGGCTTCATCAGAATGACCCTTTGTTCTGAAGTAGAATTTATAATCTGTTAGGAGCAGACCTTTCCTTTCTTTTTCTTTTCTCAACCCCTCCCCGTTTATTCTTTCTGGCTTTTGAGACAGACGCTTGCTAGGTAGCCCAGGCTGGCTGAGAAATCACTGCAGTCCTCCTGCCTCTGCTGCCTGCCTGGTTTGTGATCCTGGTGGCTGCAAGCATGTGCACCACACCTAACTGCAGGGCCTTTTACTTCATGAAGGCCCAACGTCATTTCTCTCTTCTCTTCCAGGGCAGTGTATCCCTGAAAGAACTGAATGCCCGACCGTTAGAAATCTTCATGTGCAGCGTGCTCAAAAGGCAGGGCTACGGAGAAGGCTTCCGCTGGCTGGCGCAGTACGTTGAGTAACGCCAGCCCGCGCCGACGGAGGCCTGCACAGGGCTCCGATTGCTCAACACGCGGAGCTTGAATCCAATAGACTTCTCTTGGTTTTAAAATAGATATTTTTTAGAATATTAATATTACATCAAGCTAATTTGAGTGAGAATTGAAAACTGATCCAAGTAAGTTTGTTAGTTTCTAATTCCATACAGATAGTTTTACAGTTTTTAATCTGACGTCCTCCCAGCGCCATTTATAAAGAGCAGCGTCCCAGCAGTATCACCCTTACCAATGGGAAGCTACAGATGTGAACCATATTGAAAAGTTCATCATGTTAAATTTTTTATGTACTTTTTTGGAACTAGTTTTTAAATTTTAGATTATATGTCCACCTCTTAAGTGTACAGTTAATAACGTGCTCTTCTATGATTGCATGATGCCTTACGGTTTTCAGTAACACTTTTCTTATGCAAACATCATGCAATAAAGCAAACTGTAACGTGTGGCACCCTCGTTGGGCAGATGTGTCATTTGAATGTGTCTTGTCTGGCCAGCACTTTGAAGATGAGGTACTTAATATTCTACATGCGGGAAGGCAGTTAGGAAAGAAGACTCCTTCAGGAGATGTGGAGCTGCCTGCAACCCTAAAGGCTGGCACATTTCCGGGGACAACTGCGGTGGAGGCTGAGCTTCTCAGTTCCAGCCGGCGGCCCTGGCCTCAGCCTGGGAGCCCAGCCTTCTGGAGCACAGCACCCATGCTGTCTGGGCTTCGGGGAGCCAGGCTCTTCTGTCTCAGCTGTCTCAGGTTACTGGTGACCAGTTTGGAATCTGCTTCTTCACTGGGAGTAGTGACGGGCACTCACCTTGCTGCGTGTACAAGTCCCCAGGAGATAGGAGGTGTGCAGTTCTGTTGTGGAATCCTGGCTTCTAGGGAAAGGAAGCAGCTTGTACAGTGGGTGTAGTGCTCCTATCCTGTAGCCCTCTTGCATTCTTTGGCATGTTTTATTTCCTGATAGGAAGACAATCCTTGTTTCTAATTTCTTTTTCCTCAATTGCTTTCATTGACACTTGGTTTTGGACATTATGCTCCCTGGGCAGTAATGTCTGTAGGCCTCACTGCTATTCCTACAATAAAATGGTAGCTTTTTGTTGTTTTTGTTTTTGTTTTTTGGCGGAACCGGGGATTGAACTCAGGGCCTTGTGCTTGCCAGGGAAGTACTTATTCCACTGAGCCATCTCCCTGGCCCCTGTTTTTGTTTTTGAGATAGAGCCTTGCTATTCAGTCCAAGCTGGCCTTGAACTTGTGATCCTCATGCCTCAGCCTCCCAAATGCTGGGGTTACAGACATGTGCCACCGCATCTGGCAAAAATCTTAGTTTTTTAAAAGCACTATAATTTTACCTTTTTTGTCTGTCTTTTTAAGGCAGGGTTTCACTATGCAGTTCAGGCTGGCCTTGACTTCACTTTGTAGCCCAGGCTAGCCTCAAACTTACAGAGATCCTCCTGCCTCGGCCTCCCATTCTAGCCCTCCAAGTACTAGAATTACAGGCATGTGCCACTGTGCTGGACCACAAGCACCATTAATTTTAGAAGTTGAATTATCCTTCATATATCTGGAATTTCCATTCTTACTAAGATAAAAGGAAAAGTGCCAAAAATGTATTTATTTTTTGTTTTGTTTTGTTTTTATTTTGAGACAAGTTTTCACTATGTAGTCCAGGCAGGCCTGGAACTCACAGTGGTCCTCCCCATCAG